AGGACGAATCTCCGCGAGTGTTCGAGAAACAGCTGGCGTTGGTGTGACGGCGTATCAGCGGGGGTTGCCATCCAGGCTGCTGAAACCTCGGCGGGCTGCAGCTTCCATTCTGCGGTCTCGCCGCGACCTCCCCTGGGCACTTCAGCGCTTTCACTAAAAGAGTGTTTTTTCCTTCTAAAAGAGCAAATTCTAAAAGAGCTCCACGAGCGACGGGCGTCTTTTTAAAGATGGCTTCCCGCTCGTGCGTTTCTGGATGTGGTCGTTTCCTGGCTTCATCTGATGGTCATGATCTCTACCGCAGGGACTTCCATATGTAGTACTGCCCTGGGCCAGTCCATATGTGTAATTCCACATGATACCTCCTATGTGCGGGATGTGGCTTCCGTAGCGTCCCAACTGGGTACGCTTTCCCAGTGTTATCCAATGTACCACTGTATGGAACAGCAGTGGCGGTCACCTCTGCCTAGCCGCTGTCCTATCTTCCGCCCCAGCTGGTGTGGGGGGACTTGCCGGCTTCCGCAGGGCACTGGAGGGGGTCAGCAATAGTGGCGTTTTCCATACGGATCCCAATTCGTCAGTCACTGACGTAACGTAGAACGTGACTGACTGAATGGGAACGTCTAGGTTACTTGTGTAACCCTCGTTCGATGAAGGAGGGAACGGAGAAGTTACGTTCCGTCGCCACAGTTGCTGTACCACCGCTGTACGGCCGGGGCACGTAGTCTCGGCTCCTCAGCGAAAAACTGATGTGTGTTTGCACGCGCTCTCCTTTTCTACCCGCGCTGCGGGGCGGGGTGCGTGTGGCGAAACACGCACGCCAACTGTCATTGGCTTGTTTTGTTAACACTCGAAGGTGATTGGGCTCTCGGGCGAGATCCCAATTTGTCAGTCACTGACGTAACGTCTCCGTTCCCTCCTTCAGGGAACGAGGGTTACACAAGTAACCTAGACGTTACTCATTACTAGCAAAAAACATTCATACGTGTGTCAGATTTGTACAAACATCCACATCAAGTGTTTTGATTCTGCAACATCCATAACATTTATAATTGTTTTAGTGCTCACCAAGATTTTTATTTACTTATGAGCAATTACACATTTTCAACTAGTAAACTTCACGAAATTCTAATTACAAATTTGAAACAATTTCTTACAATTAAGAAAAAAAAAACTTTATCACCTGATTGTCATGTAACAACCAAAATGGCAGCAGCCTCAAGAGTTAAAGGCAGTTAATATTCATACAGCATCTAATTTAGTGTCACACTTTCTTTGTTCTCAGCGACTTTAACCAGAGTATGAGATGAACTGATTAAAGGGCAAGTTCACTTAAAATAATAAAAATGATGTCATCATTATTCACTTTATTTTTTCCCCGTGTAACTAACACACATACACACACACACACACACACGCACAAATAAAAATTGGTCATATAATGAAACTCAATGTTGTCTTGGACCCCATTTAATTTTACTTTCAATATATGAACAAAAACAGACCCTATTCCATGCATGCATTGAATAAATGAATGAATTAATTAATAAATACATTTTGTGTCATGAGTTTTGCAGCTGAAATAATCAGCTTTAGTTGAGGACATGAACTTCTTGTACAAACAAACAAAATTTCAGGAACAAAATTATGTAAAAATGTAATTATATTTTTTAAAGGCTGTTGCAAAATTGAAACGTTTGAAGTTGTTTGTATGGTTGCCTCAAGTGCTGCTTGTAATCGACTCGAGGGGTCAGTCAGATTGGCCAAGCACACACAGGTCAACAACAGCAAACCTTTATGTGACCCTGTCATGAGACGCGTTCCTCTGCACACACATGAAGAGGGAAAAGGAAACTCTTTCCAGGGTCCGTTCCCTGAATGGGCTGATTGCCGTGGCAACAGGATCGCTTCATCAGTGGAAGGGAACAGATGGTGGGTGTGCAACAGGCAACATATGTTCCAATGAGCCGAGGCCATTACTACAGATGGAGGGTGGGAAGGAGGCCGGCTCTGAAACATAACCTGACATTTCCTCCTCATTTGGCGGCGCATTGTTTTGTATTACAAAGAGAGATTAGCCCGAAGCAGTGAATAGCAGCGCAAAATCTCTTTAAGTTTTGCAGCTGAAATAATCAGCTTTAATTGAGGACATGAACTTCTTGTACAAACAAACAAAATTTCAGGAACAAAATTATGTAAAAATGTAATTATATTTTTTAAAGGCTGTTGCAAAATTGAAACGTTTGAAGTTGTTTGTATGGTTGCCTCAAGTGCTGCTTGTAATCGACTCGAGGGGTCAGTCAGATTGGCGCAGCACACACAGGTCAACAACAGCAAACCTTTATGTGACCCTGTCATGAGACGCGTTCCCCTGCACACACATGAAGAGGGAAAAGGAAACTCTTTCCAGGGTCCGTTCCCTGAATGGGCTGATTGCCGTGGCAACAGGATCGCTTCATCAGTGGAAGGGAACAGATGGTGGGTGTGCAACAGGCAACATATGTTCCAATGAGCCGAGGCCATTACTACAGATGGAGGGTGGGAAGGAGGCCGGCTCTGAAACATAACCTGACATTTCCTCCTCATTTGACGGCGCATTGTTTTGTATTACAAAGAGAGATTAGCCCGAAGCAGTGAATAGCAGCGCAAAATCTCTTTAAAGGCAAATTACTAAGAGTCCCTTGCATTTCTTCACACACTTTACTTAACCAAGTTAGGCGAACGGGCCGTATTTCATGTGGTGGTCTGGGACAGAGGAGGGCCGTGCTGTTCACGGTGACTGATATACAGCTCTCTTGTTCCCCTTGAGAGATTTTATGCCACTTCTGAGGAGGTGGGGACGCTTCTGCATGTCTTGGCTTGACATGCCTCCACAGACAGCAACAGGTCACTGCTGCAACAGCAGCATCCAAAAAACCCCTACGTTTAACACCAAAACGGACCCAATATATTCTTTAAAGGGATAATTCAGCCAAAAATGTATGCATTTATGCACACTTGTGTCATCAAACCTGTATGACTTTCTTCTGCAGAACACAAAAGTTTTTGAAGGATGGTGCTGACTATTACCACTGACTGCGATTATATGGACAAACCAATCCCGTCCAAAAAAAAAAGAATCAATAAAATACATAAATAATAATAATAATTTTTTTTTTTATAATTCAACCCTGTGTGGCTTCCTTCTGCAGAACATAAAATATATTTTGAAGAATGTTGTTAACCAAAAAGTTTTGGTTACCACTGACTGCAAATATATCGACAAACAAATCCAATCCCATCAAAAACAAAACAAACGCAAAGTGCAAAAAAGTTTTGTGCCATTATATGGACAAAACAAAAAACAAATGTTGTCAAACCAGTATGGTTTTCTTGTGCAGAACACAAAAGCACTACAGATATAGGTAACACATTATTTTAAGGTGTCCTTGTTGCACATTACATGTACTTACTATTATAATAATTAATTATGCATAAATGCATTCAAGTAACCCTAAGCCAAACCCTAATCCTAACCCTAACCATACAGTAAATACTGTACAAGTAGTTAATAAATATTACTCAGTACTTAAATGTATAATTATTCTGTAACAAGTGTGACCAAGATATTTTGAATAATGCTGGTAATCAAAAAGTTTTGGTAACCACTGACTGCCAGTGCCAATATATGGACAATCAAATTCAATCTAATACAAAACAAAAGCAAAACGTCTTGGTTACTACTACTGCCATTATATGGACAAAACAACCCAATCACAAAACAAAACAAAAAACACGAAACAAAACAAAACAACAAATGTTGTCAAACCTGTATGTTTTCTTCTGCAGAACACAAAATATATTTTGACGAATGTTGTTAACCAAAACGTATTGTCTACCATTGACTACATGGACTATCCAATTCAATCGAATACAATACAAAACAAACAAAACAAAACAAAACTTTCTTCTGCAGAACATTAAACAACGTTTGAAAAAAACGTTTTGGTTACCACTGACTGCTGTAATGTGGACATAACAAAAAACAAACAAACCAGTCTTAAACAAAACACTGAGTCATTTCTCAAAATATCTTCTTTTTTGTTCCACAGATGAAAGTAACACATACAGGTTTAGATCAACATGAGGGTAAATGAAGACAGAATGTTGTTCCAAACAAAAAGGAAAAATTTTGCAGAATCTCCATGAGTTCTGAAATCTCATTTAAAGGGGTCATATGATGCTTTTTTAAAGATCATTATTTGGTGTATTTGGTGTAACAGAATATGTTGACATGCTTTAATGTTCAAAAAACACATTATTTTTCAAATACTGTACATTATTGTAGGTCCCTTTTTTTTTATATTAATAATAATAATAATAGATGTTTCTTAAGCAGCAAATCAGCATATTAATTTTATTAAGATTTCTGAAGGATCATGTGACACTGAAGACTGGAGTAACTGCATGAACTGTAATACTAGAACTTTTAGACATGATGGACATGAAACAGAGTATTAACCCAATATGGGGTTGAAGTACATTTTGGTCACGATATGCCAGAACCACAACCGCGACTTTTGATGAAATGACACGCACATTATCCTTAACAATTTTTTAAAGAATGGCTGCTTGAAAATCTAGAATCTGAATGTGCTGAGGGAGACAAATAATCTTTGTAATTGCGAACAACTGGAGTCAACCCCAAACCAGCAGTTGAAAGGTAAGAGATCATTTGAGACTAATTAGGGTCTGAGCAGAATGAATGGGTTTGGAACACAGTTTAGGAAGCTTCCATTTTGGTCACTGATTCATATCATCCACATGGAAGGGGAAAAAAGACTGTAATCTCACTATAAGATATAATTGTGAGGGCTTTCAGGGATATCACTGAACACAGTTTGTCCTATCTGACTGTTAAAAATTCATATTCATGTACAATTTGATGTTTTTGAGTGATTTTTAATTATACTGCAGAAACGTATGTCACAAACATCTGCAGTCAAAACAAAAGAGCAGAATCTAAATTAAGGCAAGCAGGAACATGGACATGAACATTCACATCTGAGAATGAAATGCTTTGTTCTGTGGGTGACAATTGTTTCCACAAGAGCCTAGTAATTCATTTCTCATCAGTCAGTGTTGTTTAGTTTTGAGACTGGGGCCATCTATAACAAAAGAAAAGTAATTTCAGTTGTCAGTGCAGATTAGAAGTAAATTGTTAATTCTACAAATAACGGCATGCTGTAAACTATAAAAGTAAAGCTTGTCATGAAAAACTTTGATGTAGGCTTGACAAAAACATGTCTGTAAGTTTTAAAAGACGAACGGATGGATGGATGGATGGATCGATCGACCCATGGATGGATGGACAGATGGGTGGATGGAAAGACAGATAGACAGACAGATACAGAAAGACAGACAAACAGACAGACAGATACAGACAGACAGACAGACAGATAGATAGATAGACAGATAGATAGATAGATAGATAGATAGATAGATAGATAGATAGATAGATAGATAGATAGATAGATAGATAGATAGATAGATAGATAGATAGAGACAGACAGACAGACAGACAGACAGACACGATCGACCCATGGATGGATGGACAGATGGACAGATGGGTAGACAGATAGACAGACAGATACAGAAAGACAGACAAACAGACAGACAGATACAGACAGACAGACAGACAGACAGACAGATACAGAAAGACAGATACAGACAAAAGACAGACAGACAGACAAAAGACAGACAGACAGACAGACAGACAGACAGATACAGAAAGACAGACAGACAGACAGACAGACAGATAGAGACAGAGAGATACAGACAGACACAGAAAGACAGACAGACAGATAGAGACAGACAGACAGAGATGAAAGACAGATAGATAGATAGATAGATAGATAGATAGATAGATAGATAGATAGATAGATAGATAGATAGATAGATAGATA